GATCTGACTATCGATCTCACAATCGGTCTCACAATCGATCGCACAATCGATCTCGCATTATGTCTCACTATCGATATCGAAATCGCTCTCACAATCCACATCACCATCATCATCATCACCATCATCATCAACATCATCATCACCATCGGGACACCGTCATCATCATCAACATCATCATCAATGTCATGATCATCATCATGAGCATCAGCACCATCGGGACACCATCATCATCATCACCATCATCATCTCACCATCATCATCAACATCATCATCATCGGGACACAGTCATCGCCATCATCATCAGCAGCATCATCACCATCATCTTCACCATCGTAACACCATCATGATCACCATCGTTTTCATCATCACCATCATAATCAACATCATCATCATCATCATCATCGGGACACCATCATCACCGTCATCATCATCATCATCGGCATCATCATCATCGGGGCACCATCCTCATCATTAAAATCACCATCATCATCAACATCATCATTATCTTATCACCATCGGGACACCATCACCATCACCATCATCATCACCATCATAATCATCATCATCATCATCATCGGGACACCATAATCCTCAACAGCATAATTATCACCAACATCATCATCATCACCATCATCATCGGAACACCATCATCATCATCATCGGGACACCATCCACATAATCATCATCATCACGATCGTCATCATCATCATCGGCGCGACACCATCAGCGTCATCATCATCATCATCAACATTATCATCATGGTCATCATCGTCCTCATCATCGGGACACCATCATCATCATCATCATCGACATCATCATCAACATCATCACAATCGGGACACCATCCTCACCATCTCATAATCATCATAATCATCATCATCACTATCATCATCATCAACATCATCATCATCACCAACAGCAGCATCATCATCACCACCATCACCATCATCATCACCATCATCATCATCACCATCATCGGGACACCGACGGGAATCCACATCATCATCGGGACACCAACGGGACACCGACGGGACACCAGCGGGACACCGGCGGGACACCGCGCGGCACCGGCTGCCCGGTCAGGGTTCTTCTGCTCCGGCCGCGCCTCAGCCGCGCGGGACACCAGCGGGGCACCAGCGGGGCGCCGCGCGGGGCACCGGCCGCCCGGTCAAGGTTCTTTTGCTCCGGCCGCGCCTCAGCCACAGGAGACTTCCTGTCGCCCGCCCACGCAGCTTCGCCTCGCCCGCGCGGAACGCACGAACGCGAAACCGAAATCGGTGTCCCGGCAGGGGGGCTCTCCGTTCCACTTCGATCTCCCCCCCTCACCTCCGATAACTGTTCCATTGGCTGTTGCAGATATTCATGGTTCTCGCGCTGCCGGCTCACCGACGCTCCAAGACATTCCAAGATGCCTCCAAAACTGCCCAGAGACAACCGAAGAAGCCCCCAACACAGCCCACCGAACATCCCCAGAAGGCTCCAAGACAATCTGAACCCGAACGAACCTGAGTTAGTCCCGAAAACCCACCCTGCCCACACCGCCCCCCGACCTCACCCTCCTGAAGTAATTGAAAACTGCGGCCCGACGGCGGCCCGGCGGTGCAATCCTTCTCCTGCGCCGCCTCATCGTCACCGGCCGCCGAGGTTGCCGCCCTCCCCAGCCCCGCCGTCTCGCCAGGGCGGTCGAATGGATCAAAACTGCGGCCCCGCGGCTCCATCCGCTCAGTCCTCCGCGTCATCCTCCTGCTGCGGCGCCCCGTCGCCACCAGCCGCCGAGGCTGCCGCCGCGCCAGACCCCACCGCCTCGCCAAGGGGGCCGCCTCCGAACCCGAACCCGCCGCCGTCCTCGGCGCCGCCGAACCCGAATGCATCGCCGCGCCCCCCCGAGCCCGACGCCGCGCTCGGAGACGCCGCCTGGCCATCGGCCCCCGGCGCCGCCCCCGTGCTCACGCCGGCCCCTCCCAGCGCGTCCGCCGCCGAACGCTTGAGCACCGTCTTCACCTCGAAGACGGTCGCACTCGCCACCGCCCCATCATCCGTCTCGTACCCCTCCAACTTCACCCCAACCGTCCACTTGACCTCCCTCGCCCCCCTCACGACGCCGTCCAGATTCTTCCGCGCCGCATCGCCAACGCTGACGGACGCGCTCTCCAACTCGGCCACGCGCTGCGCCGAAACGCCGTGGAGCTGCTCCCCCGAAGCCCCCAAGACGGTCACCCATGCCATCGCCCCATCTTCAAAGAGCAGCCGCACGCGCGCGAACATGAACGGCTCCGTCTTCGCCACCTCCTTGTCGCGCCGCCGGCAGAAGCCCGCCGCCGTCTTGGTGTGGCACGTCCGCCCCTCCACCGTCTTCTCCAAACACGCCTCGTAGAAAGGCGCTCTCTTGCGGTAAACGTCCACCAACGACGCCGCCACCTTCACGTGGTGCACCTCGTCCGCATTGCCGCCCTCGATGACCTCGTGCAAGCTGCGAAACCCAGCGCCAGTCGCGGCCGCGGCATCGGCCAAGGACGGCGCCCGATAAACCCGAGTCGCCAACTCCAGGGACTCCTTCGCCCCCTCGTGCCAGCGCGCCATCTCCGGAGCCTCCATGGCCCGAATGGCCCCGCCGCCCCTCAGCGTCGCCTTCAGCTTCCCCCCCCCCCCGCCGGCCGCAAAGACAAGCCGCGCGCCATCGCCGGATGCGGCGGCGCCCGCCCCAAGGCGCCGCCGCGCAGCACGCGCGCGCCCATGCCCCGCGCGTTCGCAGCGAGGACGCACGCCGTCGGAGACTCGACCGCAACCTCCACCTCCACCACCTCGACGCTCCGGTCCCCGCCGCCCCGGTCCTTCGTCGCAATGCTGCGGTGGACGTGCTTGATCTCGCCGACCTTGGTCACCGCGCCCGCCACGTGCCCCGGGCGCCCGCCCGAGGTCGCCACGCGCGCGGGCACGCCCCCAAGCCCGATGGCGCCAGCCGCCAACTTCTGCACGCCGAACTTCCTGTCGAACGTCATGTCGTACGTGATCGTCGACAGGGGCGTCTCGTGACCTCCAGCGAACCCCGCCCCGATCGCGCGGGCAACGTCCCCCGCGCGCACGCGGGTGCCCCTCGTAATGGGAACTCGCGTGAACGAAAGAAACATTGCCCGCGCCCCCCCCCAAACGATCCCCCCCGAAACGAGCAAGATGATCCGACCGCAACACCGATCCAAGCAGAGCGACGCGCACGGATCGCGACCGCCACATCACGACCACCACAACGCGACGATAGAGACAGGCCGAAGCGAACGAAGCAAAGAACAAGCCGCCAGGGCACCGACGTATCCCCACCGCGCCCCCACGCAGCCGCAGCGCCACGGGCGCGTCCACGCACGCCAAACGCATCTCGCCCACCGCCTCGCCGAAGAACGTCATCGACACCACCCTGCCAAGGGCCAATCCGGCAGCGACCCCGTGCGCGCGCTCCGTCTCCCCATCTTCCTTGTCGATGAACGTAAAGGTCTCCGCCGCCTCAGTGACCGGGCCGTGCATGCGCCCGCGCGCAGCAAAGGCCAGAGGTCCACTGCCGACCGGCCGACGGCCGCTCCGCTGGATACCTAACCTGCCCCCGCCCAGGATCGGAGGAAACGATCGCGCGCCGCCGCGTGGAGCTACCCTCCCACCCTACCACCCCCCCCTCCCATTCCCGCCCCCATCCCACCCCGCCGCCCAGAGGCGATCCCGAACCGCTGAGCACGCCGCGCCCAACACCTGCACGTCCACGCACGCGTTCCGCATGCCGGCGTCCAGCCTCTCGAGCCCAACCGGCCGCGCCTGCTCGGGCTTCCTCCTCGGCGCCATGACCCTGCAATGGACCGAACCGCGAAACTCTAACGGACACGACGCAACAACCGCGCAGCGGCCACGTACGACGACAGCGACGACGACCCCGACCTCTCCCGCGCGCCCTGGGCCGGAATGCACTCGATCCCCAAGACCAGATCTGCCTCGCCTCGTCCCCGCGCGCGCTCGGCAACAGACCGGGCGCGTCGAACCCAAATGCTGCGGGGCGCGCGAACGTGCCATGATGACGCAAAAGGACAGTAGGAGGAAGAAGAAGCGACGCAGAGGGCTACGAACAACGCCCTCGCGAACTGGCTACCGTGGCCCGCCCCAAGGCAAACGGAGACACACGCCGCGCTGACCCCGCCCACTCTCCCTCCGAGATCGCATGCGCAGCAATGAGCCGCCAACCAATGCCGGCGACCGACGCGGGGCCGACGCGGCCGCCGCGTGCCCTCAGGCATCGCACCCTGCTGGAAAACCGGAGACCCGCAACTTACCCATAGAAACTTGCGGGGCCTCCACATGGGAACCCAGGGCAAGGTGGCGACACGCCGAGCGAACAGCAGCGCGGGCGACGACGGGGCGAGCAGGGAAAACGGCGACGAGAAAGCACCGACGAGGAACATCAAAGCGACCTGCGCCACGCACAGACGCCCCCCCTCACCCCTGAGAAACTCCAAGAACCCCAGAACCAGGCAACACTTTTTTTTCTCATAGCGCGGCGAGCGCGGGCCGCAGAGCTCCCGGAACACAAGCCCTGCGCCGCCAGGACGGCCGCCCACCAGGCCACGTGCGCCTCCAGCGTGCGAGCGCGCCCCGGGGCAATGGCAACGCGCGCCTCCAGCAGCGTCTACTCGGTCCACCCGTTCAAGCCCATCGGCAAAGAGCAGGCCGCTCACGCCCGCACGCAGCAGTCATAGGCCGCATCCGACTGCATGCACGCCTGCATTCCCGCCATCCAGAGCCGCCCCTGCGCGAGCCGCAACGCCCCGCGCGAGCCCCTCCCACGCCGCCCCGCCGCGCGGGTTGACGTGCACCATGACGTGCACCTGCGCCGGCTTCTGCTCCCCCACCCCGCCCTGCACCGCCTGGGCCTTCGCGTCATCGTACATCCAAAACATACCGCCCGGCCCGCGGCGCATGGGCGTGTAGTGCCCAGAACGCACCGTGGCCCCGTTGTGAAAAAGCACCCCCGCCAGCACCATGCGCGGAAACCCCGGCAGGTGGATCTCCTCCTCCACGTCCACGCGCCGGCGCAGCAATGCGCCCTGGCCCCCCGCCGCCGCGGGGCGGATCACCCGCGCGAAGAGCACCGTCGGCGGCTCGCGCGCCCGCCGTTGCAGCACGTGCATCTGCCGGGACTCACGCATCGGGCGCTCGAGGCGATCCGCTTCCTCCTGCACCTCGGGCCCGCGCGCGCGCAGATGCAGCTCGGAGGTCGCCGACGGCACCCTCCTGTCCTCGGGCGGGACCGCGCGCGCCATCTCGGCCGACCCGTACCTGGCACGGCAAAGACCACGCGCGCGGCACCGCGAGCGCGTCTCTGTCACACTCCTGAACAGGCGGTCCCAGTGCGTAACCTGGAAGCCGCCCTGCCCATGGAGCCATCCATCGCCCCACGGCGCGCGCCGACCGGCATCCAGCTCCACCTGCCGAAGCCCCAACAAAGGCTGCCGATCCCGCGGCCGCTAAAACAATCTCCCAGAGAGAAGTGACACAACATCAAAAACACAAGCAAACACACACACACCCGCAATAATAAAATTTAAACAAAATAATAAAACATAACGCAGTAGACAACCAGTGAAACGAACTTCCCTCAAGCAAAATACAACTTCCCAGATTCTGTTTTCGCGGCCACGTGTCTCCGAGCCCTCGCCCGACTTCCGAACCTGGCGAGCTCTGTGGAACCAGTGCCCAAAGAACTCGCCGGCGTCCCACTGCTGCTCATCGCCGTACTGCTCGTCCACAGCCGCCCTCTCCTGCGCGAGCCTCGGCTTCCGCACCCCTGCGCGGCGCGGCGCCGCCATGACTTGCCCCAGCGCCCCCCGCAACAAGCACGCGGCGCAATCCTCTCCAAGCAACGCCCTGGGGCACTGGTGTCGCCCATGTCTCGAAAGGACCTCGTGCACGGACGGCGCCCGCAGGAGCAGCTGCAGCACGCCGTTGACGTAGCACGTGTTCCCCAAATTCCCCATGCCCACCGCGGGTGCGCCGGCGACCCCTCCCCATCCACCGTTTTGCCACTCCTCAGCGCCCGGCGCGACAATGGCAGACGGCGCGGAGATCTGGGCGCCCTCGCCCAGCCCCTCCACCTCGACGACGAAGTCCTGATCGAACAGCGACTCCCTGCCGAAAGCCGCGTCGTGCAACGCCTGCCTCCGGCGTGCCCTCTCGCAAGCCGCCCTCTGCTGGCCCCTCGCAAACGCCTCGCGGTCCCTCTCCGCGGCCCTCTCCCTGTCGAGCCCCTGCTGATCCCTGGCAGCCTGCCGGCGATCCCGGACCTCCTGCGCCTCTCGCTCACCGCCGACCTCGCAGACCCTACGCGCCTCCCCGCGCCGCACCCGGGCTGCCTCCGCGCGCTCCCTGCCTCGCAGCGCAAAGACGTCTGCCACGTCCACGTACGCCATCAGCCCGAAATGGTCGGACGCGCAAAACTGCGCGCCTTCGAACGCGACAGGCCCCCGCGCCATCGCATGCGCCCGGGCGAACAACTTCTCCCCGAACATCGCGCGGTCAAAACGGAACCCGGGGCCGCTGCACTGCTGATCTGCGAAAAACCTGTTCCACCTCACGCCCCAGGTCTTCCCAGCGCACGTGGCATCGCACATGCCCTCAGCCTCGCACAGCGCTGCGACCTCCTCGTCCCGCGCGTTCCAGTCGCCCGCGACCAAGACCCTGGCACGCTCCGCCCCGCTCTCGTCCAGCAACCGCAGCGCCTCTCCCAGCGCGGCAGCGCG